GACCATAATGTAAAATTCTATTGTTCTTGCATGAGTATGTATTCATGATCCTGTAAAAAAGCCTTTGCGGTGAATAGGATTATTTCTGCAGCATTTCAACAACCACAGCACCAGGTTTATATTAATATAGTACATGCCTTCTAATTGACTTTCCTAATGACAGTAATATATCACTACCTGAAGAAAAATCAATGCAGTTTTATTTGCCTGAATTTGAGAAACAATTGCATCCAACCATGAAGTAAAAATGTTGGAGGTAATTTACTAAAGTAGCAATTTTAACTGGACCATTGAAATTGTGTTCACTTCAAATATCCAGTCATCTAAAGGAGAATTACAAATTAAGGGGTTTGCTTATGTCTGATTGGGTTTTGTAATACCGTTTTGTTTATCTAGAGTAAAACAAAATCAGAAAATAAGGTTGTAACTGAAGCCTTGTTTGACACACGTTTTGTCTTTGCCTCTTTATTATGGGCAAGAAAGATTTAAACTCTCAAAGTTGCTTTCAATAATGAATCCAGATTTAACAATTATATATTGCCGAGGAAAGTATTTCTTTATATTTTTGCCCAAGCACTTACTATCATCATGTTCTAAAACAGCTGCTCCAACTCTCTCAGTTCAGCTTCCCTGAACTTCCTGTTGATCTGGTTCTCACAAGGAACAGAGCCATCTCCAGGAGCTGTCCCTCTACTTGCTTGGTGAAGGGAAGAAGGACAAGCAGGGGGGGAGGGGAGTTGCTTGCCCTGCTGTTCCTGTGCGTTTGTGGAGATACACACAGCTTACTAGCAGAGTGGCTCCATAGCCACCCTTAAACTTTACCTTGGCTCTAGCTTCCAACACTTCCAGGGGGCATGGGTGACATCGCTCATCTGCAAGAATGTGCCCCAGCCTATTGAGAAGTGCATTCACATGGGATTATAAGTGCCTTAAAGGCAGTAGTGAGGCATGGTGACATTAGTGGGATTGAGCTAAGTTTTTGTTTTCCTTTTTTTAATGACATCTTTATTTTTAAAGTGTTTTTTTTTTGCAGCTACTTTTGTTTGGGTAGCAGGGGGCTGGTAGGAAAAACGAATCTCCCATTTGCATGAAAGCTCCACTTTTAGGTACATACACTGTTTGCATTTAAATAATGCAGTTAATAA